CTCATGGTCACTGCCTCCCAGGTTCCCATCCACTTTTGCTTCCCCTACTAGTTCTTCCCTGTTTGTGAGCAGCAGGTCAAGAAAAGCTTTGCCCCTAGTTGGTTCCTCCAGCACTTGCACCAGGAAATTGTCCCCTACGCTTTCCAAAAATTTCCTGGATTGCCTGTGCACCGCTGTATTGCTCTCCCAGCAGATATCAGGGTGATTAACGTCTCCCATGAGAACCAGGGCCTGCGATCTAGCAACTTCTGCTAGTTGCCAGAAGAAAGCCTCGTCCACCTCATCCCCCTGGTCTGGTGGTCTATAGCAGACTCCAACCACGACATCACCCTTGTTGCTCCCACTTCTCAACTTTATCCAGAGACTCTCAGGTTTTTCTGCAGTATCATACCGGAGCTCTTTTTGCCCCAGATCCCTAAATTGCCCCCTCAAGGATTGAACTTAGAACCCTGGGTTTAGCAGGCTAATGCTCAAACAACTGAGCTATCCCTCCCTCCAAGCACTTTCTAAACATAGGTGAGTATCATTCTTTCTGTTTTACAAGGGGACTCGGAGGCACAGGGAGGGTAAGTGACCTGTCCAAAGTCACAGGGAAAGTCAGTGGTAGATGTGGGAGCAGAGCCCAGGTGTCTGGAGTCCCTGTCATTGGACTACACTGACTCCCTGGCAAATGACACTCTCTCTTGTAGCTGTGGTGCCCTCAGGGCAGCAACTAAGCAGCACATTCATGCAGGGGTATGTGTCTGGGGAAAGGAAGCTTGCACTGCTCTGCCTTTGCCTCTGGCTAACTAAATGGCTTGGCTTCCAGGGCTGGTGACTAGGTACCCTTCACAGTCGTTAAGTGCTAAGTGACATCTCTCTCCCCTGTCACACCATTTCTGTGTGTGGCTGGGCCTGAAGTGTGTGTGTTGCGAGGGACAAGCAGCACGGGTGGGTTATTGCACAGCTGTGAGGCACGAAGCTCTCACTGTGCTTTACTAGCTGCACAGAAATACACTGCAGTGTCTTCAACCATCCCCGGGTTGATTGTCAGGGAGGTGTTCAGTGTTGCTGGCCGTGTCACATTGAATCTGGTTTTGAACTCTTTTTCCATTTCTGCTGAATTCACATCTAAAGAGGTGGCTACTAACTGCAGCTGCCTTTCTGCACCATTCTTCTGCTGATACCACAGGACAGTATAGTAGGAATTGTCGTCATGTTCACACGGGATACTTCCCTTGCTCCCATTCTGGATGGCTATAAACTTCTCCTTCTGCGTCACCGTCACCCCACTGCAAAGACCTGCAAAGGAGAGTGGAGGGGACAGGGTGAATGCGGGCCATGGAGGATGGAACACACCTCACCTGGTCTATGTGCATTTCAGAATACAGTTCCAAAACTCCTTCTTTGATTTTAAACACCTCCATGGACAGTGAGGTCTAATCACCTCACTGACTTTATGTTTGTACTGTCCTCTCCTTACTTCTATTAAGGGCCTGACTTCTGTCTCTTCACACAACCTTACCACAGTCAGTACATAAGCCCACTCCTGCACAGTTCCTGACATCTGGAAGCAGCTACTCTGTATCTCTCCCTGCTTCTGCCATTCAACTAGCAAAGATTTCCTCCCTTTGTCCCTTCTCACGTTCTTGTCAGTATGGTACTGGAGCCTTCTCCTGTGAAGCTTCCATCATCTGCAGCAAACACCCTCCTCCCCACATTCTGCTTCTCATCTCAGATGCTAAAGTAAAGCTGTACCATCCTGGAGTCAAAACATTTATCAGAGACAGTTTCATACCTGACAGCAGCTGGAAAACCAGGAAGACACCCAGTGCCCTCCACATGGCATCTGCAGCAAAGAGAAGCCAGAGTGATCATTTCTATTGAACAAAGTTCTGTGTGCCTTTAGCAGGCGGAGCTCTGCAAGACCACAAAAGGCGGAAGAACTGATGATCAGGAGGCAGTGCAAATATGGGAGGTAGTAAAGCTGGGTACAGATGTGGATCTGAAGTGTGCAACTGCCTCTCTTTCCATTATGGATAAAACTCCAAGCCCAGATCTGACACCTTGGAATTGTGGTGGTTAGACATTCTGATGCAAAATGTGTGGCTTGGGCCCCTCTCCTTCTATATGAAGCCTGCTGCTGCTTCACATTGATCAGTGAAAATATTTTTACATTAGGGTTGTGTGGTCCTGACAGTGAGCATTCTGGGATATGTCTGTTTCCTGATCAGTCAGTGTCCTGGCCAAATCTGGATCTCTTTCTGCTTCTCTAGATCCCCCGTGCAATTTGAAAGGGAGAAGTCACATGACACAGTTTGTTGCATTACTGGCAAAGGACAGTTGCCATGTTCCATCCCTGTATTTGCTACATTTCAGTGGTGAGTGAGAATTTCCTAGTGTTAGAATGCAGCATGCTTTATGATCTGTCAGGAGAATGGAAGACACTAGATAAATGTTGGTGCTTTAAATAATCTCTCCATCTACAAACTCTCAGACAAGGATACCCTCCTCTCTGACTCTCCCAATCTCTCCTGTGTCCAGATAGTCTCCTCCACACTTGATAATTGGCTGTATTTTACAGGGGTGAAGCTATAGCCTCAGCCAGGAAGATTGTTGACTCTTTTTCTGGTTTTGCTCTTGGATGCTTTGGTTTGTTAGCACTACGCTGCCCTCAAGTGGCCATAGTGGGGAAGGTTAATATTAGACTATTCTGATCGTCCAGCTACTTTCTTCTTCTCCTTTCCCGGGAACTCAACGCACTGTAGGCAATGGGGAGTTAGTTAAATTCCAGCAGCACAGGCAAAGATAGAGTGGACTATCAGTGAGAGTGGTCAGTGCTTAAAGGAAGATGTTAAGTCCCCCATAACTAACCTCTTTGCACAATACTGTACATGAAGTGGAGACGCAGGTGTGTGGAGGGGCAATTATTTGTTAAATATTAATATTATTTCTGTCCATAGGTCATGAACAGTTCATGTAGAAGGATTGATTCCCCTGTTAGTTGTTATTCTCTGCTAGCACCAATCTCAGGGGTATCTGAGTGCCTAGATGCAGCTCCATAGCTAGTGTCACTGTCAATGCTGCTGTTGTTCATAGTTTTGAAGGCCATAAGTCTGTGATCTCAGCTGCAGGTTGATTAGTCAGCATCTCTCTCACTCTCTCCACTGCGGCCCCAAGACCGGAGAAGCTCCCCTCCCACCACCATGGGTCCAGGCCGCACTCACAGCTGTAGAGGAAACAGGCCGGCACTAGAACCCAGGAGGCGGCCTCCAGCTGCTGAGGCAGGACCCGGAGCACAGGGGAAAAGCTGCTCTGTCTTGCTGCTGGGCCCGAAGCATGCTGGGGAGTGGGGTTGGGGCATGGAGATCCTAGGCACAGACCCCGTCAGCCCAGTGGCTAATCTGCCACTGCTCCCTGGGGTTGCTGGTACCAAACATGTTTGTGCGGGCAGTTTTGTTCTAATAACAGCTCATGGTCACAGTCTTCCCTGGTTTCTGGATTGCTACTCTTGGCCACTGTGAGATGAGGTCTCCAACCTCAGCACCTGTGTGAGCGAGGTGGAAAGGAGCAGAGATTCATTAGCCAGGCACCAAAGGGTCCTCTGCCCAATGCCACCCCTGTCTGTGACCAGCCATTGCAGGTTCTGGGTTCTGGGTTCTTACCAGGCATCAGAAGGAGAAGAATTTTCAACATCTCTAGCAACAAATGTTACAGGATTGGTTCTTATAGAACTTGGATTTTGCTAAGGCAGGGGTTATCAAACTTCATTGCACCGTGACCCCCTTCTGATAACAAAAATTACCATAAGACTGCAGGAGGGGGGACCGAAGCCTGATCCCCACTACCCCTGGGGCCAAAGTCGAACCCTAAGGGCTTCGGCCTAGGGGTGAGGGGGCTGTAACCTGAGCCCTGCCGCCAGGGCTGAAGCCCTTGGTTTTTGGCCCCAGGCAGTGGTGCTCAGTCCTTGGCTTTGGCCCTGGGCCCCAGCAAGTCTAATACCAGCCCTGGCAACCCCATTAAAATGAGGTCGCGACCCACTTTGGGGTCCGAACCCACAGTTTGAGAACCGCTGTGCTAAGGCAACAGGAAGTGAGAGGAGTGCAATACCCCTCCAAATGCTGCCAGTTTGTCTTTGAAAAGTGTGTCAGGGAAGAAAGAAATTACACTTTGTCTCAGATATTTACCTATATATTTCAGACTTCCCAATGAGCCTTTAAAACTAAGGCCTGAGCATTCATGGTGGTTAAAGATCCCAGAGAATTCTATCTACTGCTGTGTTTGCCTCCAATAGACCTGGACTGAGAATTCCAACAAGGTTAAAGGTGTGTTCTCAAAATCACCCCCACTATACAGTATTCAATTTGATTTCCCATCCTATGCTAATGTCATGTATTGTACTGGCCGAATGGCAGGCCTGTTCCTGTCCAGAAGTGGAGGAATGTTCCCTGTATTCAGAGTTTGCAGATTGCTGTGAAATCTTTTGGGGTATGAATTTATATAGGTATGAAAATGATCTATCTATCTATCTATCTATCTAAATGAACTCATCAAATGCAGACAAAACAGTATTTATGAATATTCATTCATCCAATATTTTGAATGGCTCTTCGGTTTAACCATCTTTCTGCAACTTATTTGCTATCAATGAACATTCAAGCAGAAGAGCTTTAGTCTGTATCAGTGGTTGGGAGGTTGCTATGCATGCTATTAAATAAATAGTCACATGCTTAGGTGTATGGAAGCAGGAGTTTTTGTGTGTGAATGGTACTATTTACTATTTTTGCTCACTGTTATTATTCTTCATCCTTATTCTTTATTGGTCTTTTTAAAAATGTTCAGTCATTCAATTGATGATCAACTATATGCCAGGAATATAAATACAGGAGGAGGGCTGCAGGATAGTCCACTAATATATCTATTTAATTATACATATGTGCCTGACATATTGTTTGGGTGTTGTATGAGAGAGAGACTTTTCCAGAGAGGTGGAGGAGAACTGTGTTGAGATCTCATCAAATCTCAACTGAAGCTAACAAATGTATGTGTCCTCTGGTTAAAGATTAGGGAGCTGTCATATCTAGTACCTTTCGCTGACACCAAGATACACCAGTAAAAAAAAAGCTTTTTGTTACTGTGACAACTAGAGATGGAAAACAATGGAGCACTGTTATTTCCAGATCTTTACAATGTAGAAAATACCCCAGTGGCTGTAACGTGAGCCACTTGGAGTCTATCCAAGAAAAAACAGCTGTTTTTTCCAACCCATCCTGTGCATTGTTAGACACGTACTAAAATCGTAGAAATTAGAGTTGGGGAAAATTCACATCTTGCTCATCCCACCCCAAGACAGAACAGGATTTTTCCCCACAGTATATTTTCTTGGACTTTATTTACTCCTATTTTTAAATTATGTGGCTTCCACCATTTCCATGGGGTACATTATTCCACAGCCCAGTAAGACCTCAATCTGAGGAAATGTTTCCTGATTGTCTAGACTAAAATTTTCCCTTCTGTCCAATTTAATCTCATTCCCTCCAAATTATGTCCCCTGTGTGCCATCCAAAATAATTCTTCTCTCTCCTTGGTGTTCAGACCTTAGAAATAGTTGTAGCTGGTTTCCATATTCACCCTTGAGATCCTAAACTTTTGAACATTTGAATCACCTAAAACCAGTGGTTCTCAGACTTTTGTACTGGTGACCCCTTTCACATAGCAAGCCTCTGAACGTGACCCCTCTAATAAATTAAAAATACTTTTTAATATATTTAACACCATTATAAATGCTGGAGACAAAGTGGGGTTTGGGGGTGGAGGGTGACAGCTTGTGACATCCCAGGTAATAACCTTACGACCCACTGAGGGGTCACAACCCCCAGTTTGATAACCCCTGCCTAAGACGAAATGAAATGGGCAGTTAGAGAACACATCAGATTTTCTGCTTGGGGATACATCTTGCACTGTCCCACAAGCAGCCGCCCACTTGGCCCTTGTTAGTGACATCACCTGTTGAAACCTAAGTTCACCTTCCACCATCAGTCCTAGTTTCTTCTAGCAGCTGCCTGGTTTAGACCCATGATTTACTTCCTGCAAATTACTGCCTGGTGAAATCATAAACTGAGTAGACTGTAGAAAAGAAGCAAACCAATCAGAAAAGCCCGAGCTGGGAAAAGCCCTTACATACTATAGACCAACGCTTTGTCCGGCCTGGTGTTTGATGTCTCAAGTAACGGGGACTCCATCACATCCCTTGGGGAGACAGTTGCACACTCCAATAGACCACTATGGTTAGCTCTAGACCCAAGATGTGGATATAATAAGAATAGACCCAAAACTACCGGTGTTATGTCTCAAAAAGTTTTTGTTAACTCTTGTTCTCACTGGAGTTTTCCCTTTCTGCAGTGGCCTCAGCACCGGTGTGTCTTGGCTAGGAGCTGGAGCACCGCAATTACCTGGAGAGAAAGTCTGATCTTATTAGATTCATCAGCTGACAGGAACCAGGAAAGACTGTCCCATTCCCATTCTCCAACCCATAGAGGATATTGGATGCCAGTTGCAGACCAACCCATCAGACTGTACCATGTAGAGAAAATGATATATGTCTGTTCCCTCTTGTGGTATCCTTTCTAGCAGCTCTACAAGATAGGGATGTGGAGGAGGATGGGCCAAGTGCTCCTGTCCATTCCCAGCCATGGGAGGAGAAGGAAGCAAGCAGGCCAGTCCCCCTCTCTGTGTCTGTTTCTCCCCAACCCTTTGTCTGTCTTCTCTGTTTAGATGTTGAACTTTTCAGACAGGGACCAGTCTCTTATTATGGGTTTGTACAGGGCTTGGCACAGTGGGGCCT